AGGATAGAAATTCAAAATGGGCTCATTGTGTCAGGACTCCACGGAAAGTGGATAAATCAAATGTCGTTATCGTACAATTACTGTTGCCACTCACTCCAAACGTAATACCAAATATTTAAAAATGACTGGTAAAATTCACTTAAATAATTACGGGACATAAATGTGAATCCGCGAGTACAATTTTATAAATCCCGTATTCAAGAAAATCGATAATTAATACACTTAATTTACACAGCGTTTATAGAAAATCCCCTTTTGAAATATTTATTAAAATTAATTAAATAATCTTAAATACTGCCCTGACATTTAGCTTAATTATGTAAATCGAATACGGTCCTGCCTATTTTAATTGGATAAAATCCCCGTAAAACCATGCTCTTTTAATTTGATAATTACTCGTAAAAAATCCCTACCTTTTATTTGATAAAATACACGTACCAATTATTTATAACTTAGAATATAAATTATAATACGAAATACCTAGTTTTAAACGTAAATTTTACAGCGTGGTTTGTTTTAAAACGGCAGCCATTACGGCTAAATAGATCGAACGATGACGCCAAGTCAATTGATCGAATATTTATCTTTACACAAGGTCTTTGTGTAAACTAATTATACCAAAATGCTCGGGAATATTTATACTACAATAATTTAGTTATTTAAATGTACAAACCTACAAATTCCAACACTTTTCTGCACACACAAATTAGCACCTCTCGTCGCTGCCGGCTCTTCTCCAATCATCCGCTCTCTTCCCTGTCCATCTGACTACTTGGTAGAGGTGGGTCGTTACTTCGATAACGTTATTTTGGAACGTTATTCATCAAGAACGGAACGGAACGTTACTGGAACTAAAATAACGCGTTACCAGTTATTTTGTATGTAGCAGTTAAAAGTTCCTATAACTTATAACCGTTCCATCGTTCCGTTGTATAACATCGTTATTAATAACGGTGTTGTTATTAATAACGGTGTTGTTATTAATAACAATGTTGTTATTAATAACGATGTTGTACAACGTAACGATGGAACGGTATAAGTTACCTAACTTAATTATAAAATTAATTAACGGTATTAGTTAACTTAATTATGTCCATATGTATAATAAATTTAAACTGTATAATGTCTTTTGCTTGAGTCACTTTGTTATTTTACTGGATTTAGATTGAAATATAACAATAATTGTTATATTGCCTTAAGGCACATACTAATATCAAACTGTAATGTTTTGAGACAAATAGGTACTACAAGAAAACTAAATCTCAACTCTGAGGGTTATTTAGTAACTAATTAAAAAAACTAATTTGTTATGTCTAGGTTTCTCAAGCTTTGTTTCTTTTCACGGAATTCACCCACAAACAAACACACTTTTGCCACCATTTGGGTGTAATTTACTGACTATGGTGTAATTTGGATGTTATTTTAAATGAACTGTGACAGTTTAAGGAATATATGTCATTCCAAATTAACAAGTGATATACATATATTAGAACGGTTATATTCCGCAATAGGAGTAGAAAAATAAAATTATTTACCTACTTAATTGTCGGTAGAATTATACTCAATTTCTTTAGTATACTATAATAAAAGTAATCTAATAATATAAATAATAACTAATAACATAAAAATTAAATAGTAACTAATAAAAAATTCTTAATTCGTTGTAGGAGCAGGAACGAGAAAGATAGCGAATAACGCAAAAAACTATACCATCAATCATATAATCCTAACTAAAATTGTCCATTAAAATGTGACGGTAACGTTACTAATAACGTTATTTTGGAACGTTATTACATTGGAACGTTAACGAGTAACCCGTTCCTAAAAATTACTCGTTATTCCCAGCTCTACTACTTGGCAAGGTAGGGGGAAAGAATGCAAGTAGTACTTGCATTCTTTCCCCCTACCTTTTCCCACTTAATCAGGAGAGTCTTTCTAACCAATGGCACGGTACTTTTTATGTCATTCGCATTTCCGTTGCGCCAAATTTAAATGTTAGTTTCATTTACATTGTTTTTGAAAACATTTATTTTACACAATTTGGATCGTAATAACCCACGGATTGTTTATTAGGGGGGGGGTATTTGCAGATCTCCTCAAGTTAAACTAAACCAAAGGGCTGGCGGCTGAGGGATTTTGCATATGCCATATCTCAGTTATTAGACATATCTCAGTTATTAGACATGGGACCCAAACCAAATTTATATGAATGAGGCACTAAATTAACAAGTTCTGCCCAAGCAAAATTTAAATAGAATTCTAACTTAAGTTTGTGAAAAAAATATCCCCTGCAGCCTGGCCCCCCTAAATTTTAGTGGTGCAATTTATTTATTGGCACACAGAAAAAAATCTAACGTAGTACCAAGAACAGCGCTGTCATTGAATGCATTAAAATTGAAGCAATCTAAATTGTTATTTGCTCAATTAATTACTATTAAACCAAAATAGGGAAATATTTTGCCTAAATGTCAAGGATTTTATTAAGTTAAATGTATACATAGTATACATAGAATAGTAACGTTATTAAATAAATCAAATTAGTATTTAATGCAATAACATTCTAACATTCTAACAAATAAATATCAATATGAATATCAATAGATTTAGGAGTGATAACTTTTGTTATTAATTTAAAAACAGTAAACGATTATAAACCAAGTGCTAACTACCTATTCGCATTATAGGAACTGTTATTCAGGAATACGGATTACAAGATCCCATTGGTTTAATGGCTCACTCATTCATGCTATGCTAGTGTTTTTTCTGTGCATAGTTTATTGACAGATATTAAAATTTATTTAAAATATCCCAGTATTACAGATTTTATTTTATTTTTTATTATTTTCAGAGAAATAATACAAATTTAAAATGGTATAAAATCTGTAATACTCAATAAAGTATGGTAAATTATAAATTGCACCATTAAAATTTGTATTATCTTTATAAGGGGGAGCAGGCTGCAGGGGGGCTGCATCTTTTTTTTGCAAAATTTTATTTGAATTCTGCGTGCGCAGTGTCATTATAAACTCTTATAAAATTGGTGTGGGTCCCATGTCTACTAACTAAAATATCGGTATACACAAAATCCACCAACTTTTGATATAACTTTTTGGTAAATTAACCACTGATTTGGTTTTGGGTATATTTTTTTAACCAACAAGTTATATTTTACCAAATATATTTTAACTCGCTGGTAAATTAACGTTAATTAATAAACTGATTAAAAAAGTGATGGTCTTGCAGTTTTCATTGTTACCTGCATAGAAAAATTAGCTTTATAAACCTATAGGTTGTGAGTTTTGTGTGATAATGGAGCCTAAAAAAATTATTTTGCGGATTCGGCTGTTAATCTGTCTTGTAGGAAATTAAATTCTCTACAAAAAAGGTCCTTTACCATTTTGGTGTCAAGACTATAGTTTGGAGAAAAACCCCGATTTTTGAGCAAAAACCAACTACACAATTTTTTACTGGCAATATAATTCAAAAGTTGGAAATTAGCTGTAAGAGCTTTTAAAGAGGAATGATCCCTCTCCAACTTCCACCCATGGTCAAATGAATGCCATGAAATGTCGCTATGCTATAGATAATTATAATTTAAGCAAAAAAAAATATTTTTACGGGTTAATTAAATGGGAAAACTTTAAATTCATTTAGCGAGTAATTAAAATTAAAATTAAGAGCTCTCCTTTGGTGGGAATTTTTTTTTCAATGTTTAGAACAATATTTCGTCAATGGAGTGAGAAAAAAAATAGTCGTCTCAAACGAAGCACCCTAATATATATAGATAATTATATAGAGTAAAAATAAACTTAAACCTTATACTTATAGTTGGCTAAGTTAAAAAGTAGTTAAAAAAGGGCAAAATAAACCAAACACCACTAAATATTACCTTTTTTACGAAAAGGTAGATTAACCCAGAAGTTAAATTTGACGTTAATTTTACTATAATTAAATTTCCCTCTTATTACAAAATAACGTTTAATTAAGGTTAATTTAACGTTGTACTAAAATATTACTTAAATAAATTAACCAGATATAACGTTAATTTAACCAGTTGTGCTTCTTGGGGGCTTTCGAGACCCACCAAACCTTGGCCCGGTCGGGATTCAAAGCTTTGAACAGAGTATACTCTATACACTATAGTGATCAAAAAAGGTCACTTCGCAAAGTTCATGTTGTTGAAATTGTTATTATTCTCGTACCAATATTAATGAGTCTAGACGACAAATTAATCCGTTACCGTACATAGATATAAATATTTTACATTTACAAACTTATTAATAATAATAATACCAAAGTTTATACAAAACAATAAAACATATAAAATAATATTGTTTGTTTAACATTTAATTTCCTAACATTAACCGGTGGGTAAATTTTTACTACCGGCTAAGATTAGCTTTAAGTTAAAATTGGAAAAAAATGAAGTTAAAACTGCTTGACATATGTCAAAAATTAAGTTCGACAATTGGTCAAAATAGGAGATTCCACTCCACACTTTCCTCTTTTTCCCACTTGTCGCACAATATATTATTAACTTTTTAATTTGGCTTAAAAATTTCAAGAATATAATTGTTTGTTTATCTAAAAACCTAAAAATAATATATGCATTAAAACAATAGTATATTAAAACAAACATACTAAATCTACCACAAAAATGCACAAAGGTGTCCCATGTATCCAACGAACATATTATCAAGCTTGTTGTTATTTACTAACAGGTGACGTGTAAGGTTTTAATACTTCTTTATCGGGAAAAAATACTTTAAAATCTAGAATAACCAAGATTTAACTAGAAAAGGTGGCTGATAAAATTATAAAACAAAATTAAATACAACCGTAGTTAAAATTAACTTTTAAAATAATGCATTAACTTTAAAAATAATGTATGCATTGGCTTGATAATAGCATAGTTAATAATATTATTACATATTGTTTGTACTAATTTGAAGGTGATTGTTTTAAAGTAATTTTAATTTTAAATTTAAATTTTTTTTCAGATTTTGTTAGGATATGGATCCGCATGAAGATGAGGCATCCAGGGATCCAGGAGCAGCAAAAAATCAAGGATCTTTTGACGAGAAGGATTTTGAAGGTAAAAAATGTTTTTTCTACTTCCAACAATTACGCCCATTATCTTACATGTTTTCATGACACTGAGTGAACTTTTAAATACATATTGACTAGCTATGGCTTTGGCGCTTTAGTTACAGGCTGAAGTTAGCAACATGTTTTTATTCACGGGCTGAAGTTAGCTTTAAGTTAGTTGACAAATGTCAAATGTCATACAATCGTTAAAATAAAGTGCCCTTCCTGGAAAATAATACTAAATCTGAAATTTATTGTATTATCTTAATACAAAAATTCAAAAGTATTAATTAGTTCCTCAAGGTCATTATTTAAAACGTAGTAAACTAGATTTATCGGATAATGCATTCAAAATTTCACTGTGAAAAACTGCTTCTACATCGGATTTAAAATTCTTGACTAAAATGGCGTTTATCAAACTATACAATATAGGTACTTTTATTTATTATTAATGTCTAGTTTGTTTTAAAATCCAACATATCCACACATTACTGTTTTGAGTTATGTAATTGATAAATCAAAAATAAAATTCAACTATAAAAATAAATATGTAATAAAAATAAAATAAAAGTAATATTTTACAAAAAACTCACAGTAAATTATTTAGAATTAATTAAAATATGACATCCTCAAAAAAGATTAAGTAAAACTTAAAGTAAAATCTTATACTTGTAGGTACCTATTACTCTTATCACTGTGTTTGTATTTCATGGCACACTTATAAATTGCAAATTAAAAATACCCACGGTAAATACTTAAAATACTTAAAGTTACCGATGAATTTACTCGCTCAAGGTTATAGAATTTTAATTGGATTATATCTTTTAAAATAAAAAAATAGTATTGGCTAAGCAGGCCGAAAATTTAAATATATTCATAAATTTACACATAATTATGTAAACCTTAATTAATTAAGTTGTCTCTACATGTATTAAGCTTTATATCGAAGTTCAAAGTAAAGAGTGCTGGGTGCACTACTACAACTCCGAGCTCCATATCCATGTATACGTTTTTACTTTTCACCCTGCACTTTAAATTTCATTTTTTGTGTTAAAATTAAGTTTTAAAGTCTTTAATTTATTTTGAAATAAATAAATAAAATAATAATTAATATTTATTGTCTCATGTTATTTTATTGCATGTTATAGACACTTTAATAAAATATAATCTTAATCAAATAAATAAAAGTAGGTTGATAAAAACTTGTTTAAACAATAAAAATTATAATTTTTATTGTATGTACATATGTATTTGTATACATATATACTTTAAGATTCCACCTTCAATAAAATAACAATAATTGTAAATAATATTTCATTTCAAATGTAAAATGTTTTTATAAGTTTTCTGCTATTTAAAGTTCAATAAAGAGTAATAAAAGTTCTGAGAAATGTGTACCTATTTATAGCAATTGAAATTTTATTCATTTATGTTAATGGAGCATATTTTTGCTTGTAAATATAAATTATTCATCTTAACATACTAATATCAATCTAAAAAAATAACGTAAATATGTCTTTTTTAAGTACGCATTTTTGTTGTCAGTAAGAAAATAAATTAAGCAGGCCCGGATCTACAAAATTTTTGAGTAGTACATAATACTTCAATATCTTAAACGCGCTTTATGAGGCGCCGTTTGTGTCAAAATTAGCGGCCAACAATAAAAGTATTATTTGAATGGTTAAATGACCCATAAACAAATTAAGATGCAAAAAGTTTACCTCAAAACAGCAACACATATAATATATTCAACTTTAAAATATTATGAACAATATTTATTGACAAATAAAATTAATTTTTATAAGGGCGGCTGAATGGGTTATGACAACAGCTCGACAAGTGAGTCACTTGAAGTGACAGACCTTAGGGGTCCCCGGCTGGGTCAAAACTTCTTTAAAATTTAAATCCACTAATTTGACTATTTCATTCAGTAGAATTTGACTAATTATTAGTGACTGCTTTTTCGCTATGGCAATTAGTCAAATATGACTTATAATTAGTTATTTTTGACTAATTTATTTTAAGATATAATAACTTGTTGGTTGAAAAAATATTTCCAAATTAACCAAAGCTGTGGTTAATTTACCAAAAAGTTTTATCAAAAACTAAATTAAACCAAAATATGTCTTAAAAAATAACTAGTCCTAACCATTTTTAAAGGTTAAAATTATGTTAATATAACGTTATGTAACTTTTAAAATAACCTACTTTTTAACTTATAAGTAATATTACTAACTAGTTAAATAACCTACTTTTTAACTTATAAGTAATATTACTAACTAGTTAAATAACCTTAATTTACCATTTATAAATGGATTATAACCTTACTTCTTACTCCAAATATAAATAGCGATATTTGTTTTTGATTCGTTTAAACCAGATAATGGTAGATGGCGATGTAAACAAAGTTGCTGCCAACTTAAATTTTATTAAACCTAAAGAAATAAAAAGTAACTATTCACCTGTTAATAAATACTATAACTGGAGTTGCTAAATACAGCTATTAATATTTTTGCGACTGATCTAAGTTTCAGATTATAGAGGGCATAGCAAAACTTTTGTAGTAAATTGCAGCCATATTTTTACTTTCTTGCGATACTTATAAGTATTATTATAATAATATATTACTACTGAAAAAAACATTTTTGACACAAGGTATCTTTACTCCTCAACTCCTTGCATCATCTAAAAGCATATTTTGTAGTAAATTTTTATTTTATTTGCCTGTCTGATGAAAATAAACGGCGTTTCGTGTTTAGTGCTCATTGCTAACCGGAAAAATCGATCGTTCGCAATTTTTCACATTTTCCTGTATTCTGATTGTTGGATTTCAATGCAATTCTTAACAATTACATCGCAATATTCGCATGCTTGATGGAGAAAATGTATCTCTGTTTTAGAGAAATGTATTATTTGAGGATGGTAAGGAACGTGATCGAAATTTTAAAGATGCTTTCACAGGTTTTTAGACGATATAATCCCTGTTGAAAAATCCAATTCGATTGGGAGAAAATTTCGAATTTAAGAGTAGATTTGTAGGAATCGGAACATTATGCTCAATTTACAAGAGTGTGAGAATTTGAGAATTTAATCCATATCGGCCGAATTTTAGAAAATTGTAGATAATAACGATAAAATTAAACAGTAGGTTTCTTTAATAAGTAATACTTTTGTACTGTAGTCACCACATTCACGCTGTTTATTCTTTATAGGACACCGTGCACACAGCGTCTTTGTCGGAGTACATCTGCCTAACGCGGAGAGAAGACATTCGCATAGAAGACACAAACATCATCACCGATACTCAGAAGGGGGCGAAGAAACAAATTCAGAGGACGCAGACAGGCCCAGTAAGTACCACCCATTTGTTAAATTTATGTTTCAAGGTTGTTCGAATGAAACTTTTAATTTCTTTATGTCTATAAGTTGTTGTTTTACTAAATATTGAGTCCAAAGCGATGATTGAATCGGGTGGTCAATAAGGTTGAACAAAATATAACCAAAAGACTTGAAATATGTTGCAAACAGGGATTGCAATTGCTGGATTTTTCAGCCTGCTGGATCGAGCATTGCGGATCCGCAAATAATTAACTTTTTAAATAATGGCGCAAAAGTCTACTTTGACAACGTTGCCGCTTTGCTAGGTGCGCTAACGCCCAAACATCCTCGGCGGGGGCGACCTTACCGTTCTGTCACGCTTGCGGCACGTGCTACACCCCTTTCTACACCGCACTTTTTGCTAATAAAGATTCATGCTAAATAAGTGTCTTCTTAGCACCGCTGTGGCCCAAGTTGTTTGTTGTGAGAATTGTGAGTAATTTGACTGAATTTTAATTTTAATTTATTTATAAATATTACATTACATTACAGTAGTTACATTGGGAACAAAAAAACACAAAACTTGTAATAATAATTATTATTAAAAATAATAAAGATAATTATTTTATAATCTTTACATTAATTTTGTTTAAGCTTTTAAAGTCGAAATCACTTTAATGTTTTACATATATTTAATTGTCCTGTGCCCAGCACAGAAAACTCTATAAAACACGTGGCATTTTGGTAATATTTCAAACAAAAGACGTGTTTTTTACGTATATAATACGAGTTATCAACATTGGAATGTCACATTTTTATGACGTATTTTGTGGACGTAATTAAAACGTGTTAGGTAAAAGAAACGTCACCCTTAACGTGGTTAAGACGATTCTTAAAGACATCTTTAATACGTCTTTACATTTATTTTAGATGTCTTTAAGGTACAAAATTGACGTGTTTTGGTTGTTGAATAATTTCTCAAAAATAGTGCTGTTTAACATTAAATGTTAAATTTTATAAAAAGCTTTTGCTAAAAGTAAGTAGTGGGGCCCACTGCTTACTTTTCGCAGAGTTGGCCACAGGACCAGCTGTGTCCCTTCAAAACTTACAAGCAGAAGCGGTATGGTCAGTAATTTTGCCTTAGTAAGAAATTCTTACTTAGCAGCTTAAGGCATTCCACCTTTATAGGACTATCTATTATGATACCGTGGCGAGAGGTATGCATGGGTTGCCTACATATTGGCGAATTTTGAAACATTTTAATGACTTCGCACATTCGTCTGATTCTAGTATGAAATAAGTGGTCAGATAATGGCGAGAAATATACGTCATTTTTACGTTTTATTTTGACGTTTATTTTTACGTCTTAAACGTCGTTCGTCATTTTCTGTTTTCTGGGTACTTAGGTACTTCGTCTAAATTTTACGTGTATCAAACGTATTTTTAAAACTTCTAAGAATTCCTGTGGTAAGTACCTTCTTGATTTCGACTGAAAGAACTGTATGGGAAGTTTTTTTATGTTTATGTAATATTTTTAACAAATATAGAAATTTCATTTTTGTTAAAACATTCATTTTTACAAAACGTTTATTTCACGTCAATATTCCTTTACTTTAAAACTCGTTAAATAACAACCAAAATGCGACTTGAATAACACGAGTTGGTTACAGCTCTGTTTGCTGGGAGATATAATTCATTACTAATAGTTAGGTAGCTACCTTTTTTAAACTAATTTATCAAAAACCTATATTATACAGAAATTTTAAAAATTAACGTATGAAAATAGGTAAAATTAATGTTTTAAATTAAAAAAAATATTAATGTATAATTTTAGTTATCAATATAGATAAATTAAATTAATTAATTTAATCAATTAAAATTGTATTTCATTAATTTTATATTTTTATAAATTTGTGCATATTTTAGTTAAATAATAATAAAAGTTTTAAAAAAAATTCTTAAAACATTTTTTAAATTTACTTTAAACAATTTATAAATTGCTGGATCCGCGCTGGATCTGGCTGGATTGATATTGATCCAGCAAAAATCCAGCTGGATTAAAAATCCTGCTGGATTGCATCCCTAGTTGCAAATACTCTTTAAAACTGGACCTTGTGAAATAGCAGCCATTTCTTAATCCTACTCTTTAAATATCCTTAAATGAAAAAGTCATAAGGAGTCAATTTAGGACCTCTGGAACATCATAATCCAACAGGTACTAAAAAACAAAAAATGGTTCAATCCTTGGTTCTTTATACCTTCCTGCAAATGCAAATTAATCCAAATTAACTTTTTTTAACGGTTTCGTTAAGAATTTCATCATTTCAAAAATATACAGTAGGTATGTCCATTGGTGATAAAAAAAATCGAATATTTTTTTTACTTTCGAAACTAAAAAAATGGTTCTTAGGCAACTCTAGAAGGTGCTCACCAAATTTGAGCTCTTAATATTAATAGGAAGATCCTCCTTATCACAGTTTTCCATTTTGTCTTTAGTCCCTTATAAAGAAGACCATATTTCGTTATTAATCAATCGTTTAATTAAATTTTTATACATATTTTTGTAGGAAATTAAATGCTCTACAAAAAAGGACTGATGTTTTAAGCGATTACTATAACCATTTAAAAGATATTCATGATCAAAGTTTGAATAATCCATCCCAATGCGTACTGATACATCTTTTCAACGGTTAGAGTAATCTACACATCGGACCTTTTTTGTAGAACGTTAAATTTCCTATAAAAATATGTCATACTCATTTAACAATAATTATTTTTCAATTATTTGGTGAGCACTTTCTAGAAATGCCTAAGAAACCATTTTTCAGTATCAGAATAAAAAAATATTCGACCTCTTTTAATCACCCTAATGTCCAGTGGACAGTGGGCATACATATATTTTGATGGTGGTCTATCTGCAAGAGGGTTGGTCAGGCATGGGGTTGCTCAGGGCTCTATATTGGGGCCTCTTCTCTTTTTCATTTATATAAATAAGCTTTCCTTACTTCAGTCAATGAACTTGTCTTTTAGACCACTTAATAAAGAAAAAACTACAAAAACTATTTGTTATTTTACAATTAATGTTTTAGTGGTATTAAAAAAGGTAATAATGTTCAAAATAGGGATCTAAAATATAGCACGAGAGAACTGGCTCAATATTTGTAATTTTAAAGGTCTCCTTTTATATCCACTTTTTATCTTCCCTACAACAGTAAAGACGACCTAAAGAAAACGGGTTTGCATATAAAACGTAAATATTTAAGGATCGTTTGTTTTTTGTAATGATATCCTTTACACCCTGTGAAACCTTTTCAGGAATAGTAATGTCACGCAGAAGGGGTCTGAGTATTTCAGAGGAAGGAGAAACATGTAAGCTTGAAATTGCTAGTAACTTCTTGTTTCTTTCCTTAATATTCAAATCATTTTCAAACAGTTCATGTTCATTTTTAACGTATGTGTCGTGGAGTGAAAAAGTTGAAAGGGCTGTGTGCACTACTAAAACTCCAAGCCTCATACCTTTGATTTTCCTCATTCCACTTCGCAATTTATAAAAATCAATAAATAAAAAATTTAAGCATGTGTGCATAATGATAAAACTAAAAACACTATTTATTGCAGCTTTATTTTTAACAATGAATCATAAACATAAACCACTTTAATTTATAGATTTATTATTTGATAACCGCGAAATTTATAGAGCCATATTGAAGACAAATAAAATATTATTAAGGCATTTGAGAAGTAAAATAACATTTTATGTTTATAAGAATAGAGGTTTTTATCCTTCTATATAAAGGGCTAATATATAGGTAGCAGGTGGAAAAGATCGATTTAACGCCTCAATTCATTTTATGTTACGATAGGTCTCTGTAATTTTATAATAACAATGTTTCAAATAATACAGCCTTGAAAATGTAATATATTTGTGTATTTTTATGAATAATAATAATAGTAAAATTAAATTATACTAAAGCTGGGTTTTAAACGTTGTTTTGATACAATTTTAATTTGGTTTTATAGTCACCCATAATATAACTAGTGGTATGATTATCATCGATGATATTTTCGAATTGAAACCGAGCTGCAGATTTCACGAGTCCGCAGGACGAGTGAAATGTGCTGCTTCGGTTTTAATGAGTAAATATCATCGATAATTAATCATACCACGAGTTATATTTAGTGAGAAAATATAATGAATTTTAGGATTTAACGAATTTTTAGTTTGACATTTGAAATTAAAATGTGCTTTAAAATATAAAAAGACTTTAATAAACCTTATTTATTCAAACTTACCTTAATTTTATTATCGTTTACACCAACCCATCGATCTTTTAGAGTTTATAATTCATTATTTTAATCATTTAGGTAACAAACACAGTATTTAAATGACAACAAATGTCAAATCAAAAAAACGTCAAAGTTCATAGTAACGTGTAAACAAGATGATAAAAATTATTGCCGCTGTGATAAAATACGTCACTATGGAATACTGGCATTTTATTGGTTCTAATATTAATGAATTATATTGTCATGTTCATATGCTTTTACACGTATTTTTTACATGTGTATATATTTATCATACAATGTATAACACACACATTAAAAAGCACCATTTTATAGAAAGATTGAAAATTAAGTTTTACTAGGTTTTTATATAAAAACTAAACTTATACAGTGTGTTTGGTAAATAAGTCATAGCGTCACCTTTGATTAAAATCACTTTTTAAATTACAATAGGTAACTGATATATTATCAGATTTTTTATGTTAAAGTTATCGTACTTATATACTTAACACCCTGTAAAACTAGGTATTTATGAATGCAAATAATTTTTCTACCTATATTTTTAGAGCATGTTACCTAGTTTTTTTTAAATTTCAAATGATTAAATTGGTTATATTTTTTGACATGGAATAGTAAATTCTCTAAAAGGCGAAGAAAGCGCTTATATTATAACTGAGCTCAGAGTTCGCTGTCAAAGCGTGTTATACAGTGTGTCCAGGATGGACTTAACTATACTTGTAAAAAGTCACTTTTCATAATTTCTTCTGCTTGTTACGTAAAATACCGTTCAAGATGAGAAACTTCTATTTTTTCATAAAGGGTGCTCAAAAAAAATCCAATTGTAGATTTTGCAAAATTAAAAATTGTTAAATATATTTTTTGAAGGTCTTATCTGAAGAGCTTGTAAGGAGAAACCAAAAAGCCAAATAAAGTTTTTTCATGTGAGTTGTTGTTACTATAGGACCACTCAAGTTAGGACCTGAATTGATTTTATTTTTAATAACAAATATCATATATGATATTTCAAATATCATATTTGTTATTAAAAATAAAATCAATTCAGGTCCTAACTTGAGTGGTCCTATTATTTTGTAGAAATGAACGGCTATCTCATTTTGTGATTATGAATCAAGGTTGTTGCTTTCAACTGACATGTCTCAATTATTTGAAAAAAATTGAAAACTAATATACTAATACTAATCTTAAATTTTCAATATCAAATATCTTGGTATCAAAAACTCATATGAAAAAACTTTATTTGACTTTTTGATTTCTGCTTACCAGCTCTTTAAACTAGCGCTTAAAAAAAATATTTCAAAATTTTTAAATTATTAATATGAAAATTGTTATACATACGCTTGAAAAAATATAGTTTTAAAAATATTAATATATATACCTACCTACCAAAAATACCAAGTGTTGCCTAAATTTGCTAATCTGATCTTTATAGCTAAAATTTATAATAAACATGGTGTTTCACGTTCGTGGTCCATTAAATGTTTCTGGGGAAAGCGTTTGTATTCTGTCAATTCTTTAACATATCTCAACAAATTACCTACTTGAGAAAAAAACATGACAAATTAGGCTAACTTGAAACGTTACTAACTTTTTATTTTAAATATAACACCCTATATATTTTTACATAATCAAATAGGAAATTAATAAAATTTCGATTGATACACTTTGAACATTTAATAAAAACAGTAATAAAAATGGTTAATTAAAATATTAAAATATTGTTAGTTTATTAAATTATTACGCATTCTTGTTGATTTTTGTTTAAATTTGAAATACTGTTTTTATTACTTCTAAATTTTAAAAATGTTTGGCTTGTTTTTTATTAGTCACTGACTGCTATTTTGAATCAGTAATTTTGTTTACAAAAAACAGTCAACAAATTATTTATAACAACCTGATAAATTGACGCCATTAAATTTTGACAATGACAGATTACGTGATAACCATAGATACCGTCAACTCACCCGTCACAGGTTTCTTGATACAAAATAACATTTAAAATTTAAGAAATTGTTAAATTATCAACTTTAGGTATAGGGAATAGTTATATTAATCGAAAGGTTTTACTATAGTAATATAGTATAAACTCCTGGACAAAATTAACGCAACATCAAAAAATTTGCCACATTTTTTATGCTATTTTTTTGTTGAATTTATGATCCGATTTGAATGATTTTTGTTTTGCATTGTAGGTTGGTTCCTTGACAATGTCATAATTTTCGCTGTTTATGATAAAAAGTTCATTTTGGATTTATACCGGGTGTAATAAAAATGTACTGTTTTTTTCCGAAAATTCGTATCACCCTGTGGAGTGTACTAGCAACCGAAACCTATAGCAGTTAACATTAGTCGGTAGGTCCATATTTCGCCAACATATTCTTTTTTGGTTTACTTCATTATCTCTGTTATTAAAGGAGATACGCTGTTTTATAGCGTAACATGTTTTTATAGACTTTATTATTCAAAACATTAATTGTTAAATGTTTTCAAGTAGGCTATGGAAAATTCGCCATACTTATAACAACTGTTCGAAAACTGCTTATTAAATGTTCGTTTCGTATTTTAATCTTGAAAAATGAATCGTCCAAAAAATTTTTCGACAGAAGAAGCAGTAAGAGACTTAACTTTGGTGAATGAGGGCTATTCGATGTCATGTTGCTAATGTGATAGGAAGACATCGTTTGACTATAAGTCGTATGGTTAAACGATTTAACGAGACAGGATCTTACTCTTCAAGGTCAGGACAAGGGCGAAAACGATGTACCGATCCAAGGGATGAGCGTTTTATTAGGCAAACTGCTCTAGAAACAGAAAGATTACTAGTACAAGGCTCGAACAATCAGGAGACGTTTAAATGAGGCAGGAGAAGACCGGCAAAGAAACAATTACTTACCATAGAGCACAGAGTTTCAAGATTGCGTTTTGCCAGAAATTATCATCATTGGACTGTTAATGATTGGAAGAATGTTTTATTTTCTGATGAAACGAGAGTTAGTCTCAATGCTCCTGATGGTGTGAACGTGTTTGGGGAAGGTCAGGAGAGAGATTTGCAAGTGGCAATATCTCTCCTAAAATCCCGTTTGGTGAAGGCTCAGTAATGATTTGGGGAGGAATATGCTTCAACGGACGCACAGAGTTAGTCCCTATACCTGTAAGATCAATGAACGCCGATTATTATCTAGAAAACATGTAATGCCATTTGTTCCTTTTTTGGGACCTAATAGTTTATTTATGCAGGATTATGCATTTATCAAAGCGAGCAGAAATTATACAATTATGCAGATACCAAATAATCTAAACATCTCTTGAAATGTCAGAAAAGGTCCATAGCCTACTTGAAAACATTTAACAATGATTGTTTTGAATAATAAAGTCTATAAAAACATGTTACGTTATAAAACGGCGTATCTCCTTTAATAACAGAGATAATGAAGTAAACCAAAAAAGAAAATGTTGGCGAAAGATGAACCTACCGTCTAATGTCAACTGCTATATGTTTCGGTTGCTAGTATACTCCACAGGGTGATACGAATTTTCGGAAAAAAACATTACATTTTTATTACACCCGGTATAAATCGAAAATGAACTTTTTATCATAAACAGCGAAAATTATGACATTGTCAAGGAACCAACCTACAATCCAAAAAAAAATCATTCAAATCGGATCATAAATTCAACAAAAAAATAGCATAAAAAATGTGGCAAATTTTTTGATGTTGCGTTAATTTTGTCCAGGAGTTTATATATGGTATAGTAATTTCACTCCGAATTTTATGTAGAATACAAAAATGTTAAAATATATGAGGTAATATTTTTAAAATAATAAAGTTGATGTCACTTTCGGTTAAACCGAAAATGGCATTTTGTTCAAAATATTTTAGAAAAATATACTTAAAATTTAAACTTTTTCCGCTCCCCAGAAACTTCTAATGGTCCACGAATGTGAAACACCCTGTATATATAAATATTATAATGCTTTTTAATGTATTCTCTTATTACTATTAAATTCCTATAAAATTTACTGTCTATGCCAAAATATATTTAATTTTAGGTTTTATATACTTAATCCGCCCAAAAACAATCACCATTAAAAAGTCTAGTAAAAATTTATTTTCCAATTTTGCCTCGACAATTTTCCCATTTAATATATGGACACGCGTCATTTTTACATAAACAAGCATAATTGTGCAACGAAGTAAAAATTGCAATTAGATGTTAATAGAATAATGTTTCGCTCGTGCTTAATTATTCCAAATGAAAATTTCAGCGATGTATTCAAATTTGCTTTAGCAGAATTAAAATAACAACTTAAATAGCCAGTAAGAATTTAAATGTTAACCTGTTAATATTTTTTATGAAAAACGCTGTATTACACAACCAAAAGTATTTACTAAAATAATTACATGTGTGTTTCAAAAAAACATTTTTTTCATTGGTAACTTGTGAGAAGTACCGGTATAATTACACAAACAATTTAAGTTAAAACGTACACAATTGCTTAATTATAGCGCATTATAGTCCAATTTATGTGGAAAAGATTTCCTTTACCAACAATAATCCAGTGATAATATAAGATCCAAGAGTAACAGATGTTTGTTGAATGCAAACAAAAATGAAAAGTACTGTAGCAGGTGCCAGATATTTATAGTTTTTGGGTGTTAAATATATAAAACCACGCACAAAAATACCTACTTTTCCTCATAAAGTTTTTATTGCAGGTACCCCACCCTCCCAGAGGGTCCAGTTCATACTCGGTGAAGACATTTCCGATGAAAAACATGAAAGCCATCCGCTTTTCTCCGAAATGGAGGAGCTCATCACAGATGGCGATGACATGGAGTGGAAGGAAACGGCACGCTGGATCAAATTTGAGGAGGATGTGGAAGAAGGGGGAAACCGGTAAGGTCTTTAGTGTTTTCAAGTTGGTAATTCTTGATAGTTATGGAGTTTTAACTTCCAGGTGTTTATTTAAATTGATCTTTCATTCATTCATTTAAATTGATCATAATTTTTTTTATTAGGTGGTCCAAACCTCACGTAGCAACGCTCTCCCTACACTCCCTCTTCGAACTCCGAAGCCTTATATTAAATGGAACTGTCATCCTGGATATGGAGGCCTCCTCCATAGAGCAAATATCGGATCTGGTCCTGGACAACATGGTCAACAATCTAAGCCTACCTTACGACAAAAAGGATAAAGTGAAAGAGGCGCTACTGAAAAAACACAGACATCAGCACCAAAGGAAGAAACACGTCCTCCCATTCGTCAGATCCTTCACTGAAATCGGAAGAAATCATTCGACATCTAAAAGTAAGTGGAAATGTTTTACTTTTTTTAGTGGAGTTCTGAGTTCCAAACGTTTTTGATGAGCTGAATCTAAACTCGACTTCAGAATTGCTCTTCAAGAAATCAATATTGTTTTTTTGTGTATGAGGTCGACTTCAGCTCATCAAAAACCTTCTTATTTCAACAATATGAGTTTTGTCGACCTGTATTAGATATCAATAAATTTCAGATGGTTGTTCTAACCTTTTGTGCGTTCCGCCGAAAAGAAAGACAAAAAGTAATAATAATTCAGAGACGGCAAAGAAAAATGGGTCATATATATCGATACCAGGTCAGATTTACGAAAACAATGCTTTCTGCTGTACTAACAATCACTAACGCTTTGGGAAATTACTAAATGTTTGTCCTACATGCAATTTTAACTGTTTTGTTCGTATACTAACACTAAAAAATTTAGGTATTTGTGTAGCAGTTTGTGAAATAACATGTTACACTGTCTATAGTTTAACAAACAATGTAGATATATTAACGTACTTACATATTAATATTTTTAACACTACAACACCCTTAGGACCTAATTTACTGGTCTCAACTTCCAAGAAGACTCTTATGTTAACAAGACAAACTAGGAATATAAATGTTCAAACTTTAACATCAAATTTTGTACATACATAAGCTATACCTCGTTACAGTTTTCTTAAGTAATAAGTTTTCATGTACAGGGTGATCCCCTAAAATGTCGCCCACTTTAACTTTTTTATTTTAAGTGTCCCAAAAAATTTTAAAGTGTGGTTATGTGGGTACAAAAAAATACTTTTTTTCTACGTATAAAGAAAAATGGAAAATTGATCAATATACAGGGAAAACCAAAGGGTTGCCCTATATATGAATTTATTTTTCTATACCTTGTAAAATTCTGAGCATAATTCATATAACAAACCATATACCTACCTAAACTAAACCGTTTCTGAAATATTCGCATTCGAAATGTTATCATTAAATGTTTTTTTAAACTGTTAGAAATCAAAAAGCCTCGGTATACCAAAATTTTTATTTAAAATAAGTTACTATAATCACATTATGTCAATATGCCTTGTTAAATAAGTAAAAATGGGGTACTCAGCCAGAGACACACAAACTATTTCAAATTATTATCTTAAAAATAATTTAATATTTCAGAAACGGTTGAATTTAGGTAGGTATATAATATTTTATATGAAATATGCTTAGAATTTTACTAGGAATCGAAAAATAAATACATATATAGGGTGATCCATTGAAAAAAAATAAACTTTTTGTTTTTTCCTGTATACTGATCAATATTCCAATTTTCTTTATACGAAGAAAAAAAGTATTTTTTAGTGCCTACATAACCACACTTTTAAATTTTTTGGGAGACTTAAAATAAAAAAGTTAAAGGGGGGCGATCACCCTGTAATCCCCTATAATGTCGCCTATAATGTCGCCCTATAATGTCCCCTATAATGTCGCCTATAATGTCGCCCCCCTTTAACTTTTTTATTTTAAGTGACCCAAAAAATTTAAAAGTGTGGTTATGTAGGAACTAAAAAATACTTTTTTTCTACGTATAAAGAAAATTGGAAAATTGATCAGTATACAGGGAAAAACAAAAAGTTTATTTTTTTTCAATGGATCACCCTATATTTGAATTTATTTTTCGATTCCTTGTAAAATTCTGAGCATAATTTATATACAAACCATATACCTAAATTCAACCGTTTCTGAAATATTCGCATTCGAAATGTCATTATTAAATGATTTTTTTAACTGTTAGAAATCAAGAAGCCTCAGTATACCAAAATGTTTATTGAAAATAAATTACTATAGTGACATTATGTCAATAAGTGTTGTTAAATAAGTAAAAATGGCGTACTCAGACAGAGAAAGACAAACTATTTCAACTTATTATCTTAAAAATAATTTAAATATTTCAGAAACGGTTGAATTTAGGTATATGGTATGATATATGAAATATGCTTAGAATTTTACAAGGAATCGAAAAATAAATTCATATATAGGGTGATCCATTGAAAAAAAAATAACTTTTTGTTTTTCCCTGTATACTGATCAATTTTCCAATTTTCTTTATACGTAGAAAAAAAGTATTTTTTAGTTCCTACATAACCACACTTTTATTTATTTTTGGGATACTTAAAATAAAAAAGTTAAAGGGGGGCGACATTATAGGGGATCACCCTGTACATAAAAAAAGTAAAAAATATCCTTTACTACACTTTCCTGCACAGGAAAAGCCTATTTTTCGTACCCCTAATAAAAATATTAAAATGTCAAAAAAGTCAACAAGAATTGACTTCTGACAACTGTTAGACTTATTTAACCTCACTTTTGCCAATTTATAATATAAAGCTAACTTCAGCCAGTGACCAAAAACTGCGAAACTAACGGTTGCTAACTTCAGTCTGTGGATTTTTAGTGACGGGCTGAATTTAGCTTTTTTCTAAATTGGTAAAAAGTAAGGTTAAATTCGTGTGACAGTTGACAGATGTCTTTAAATCTTTTTTTGTGTTCGTCATAAAAATAAATATAAGTATGCAACTCGTTTGGAAAAAAGTGAGGTTAAACCTGTCCGACAGATGTCAGATTGCTAAAATTGAAGTCAAAAGTTTTGACTCAAAACCGCTTGACAGTTGTCAGATGTCAGATAAAATGTCAAATAAAATTGACTTTTAATTTTGAAAAAACATTACTTTATGTTCATAAAGTATGGTATGCAATTATTATGCAATGCATTATAAACTCGTGTATTAAATAACGTTTTTTTACTCACACCTTTAAAACGCCCAATATCGTACATGTTTCCATGACAGAAGTGACATTTGACAAGCTGTGGCTTTATGGCGGTTTAGTCACGGGCTAAAGTTGGCAACAGGTTTTAGTAAACTATATAAAGCATTAAAATTTTTGCTTACAGTGCCCATAAAACATTATCTTCACTTTTACTATAAAAAACCGCTTCTATATCGTCTATTTTCAAAGGAATAATTTTGATTTACACAGAAAAATTTATATTTTAATGCCGATAGATTTTTGTACCGATAGATTTTTGTACCTTTAACATTTCCCGTGTAAGAATTTTTAATACTTTGTGATAATATTTTGCAATTAAAGTAATAAAAAAATCCAATGATAAAATAGTTTCTTAACATAATCATATTATATTTTGAAGTTATTTTAATATTTTAAAGTATCAATAATTGTTATGTTTAATTAAAATTAATAACGGGCAATGTTAATGGTAACAATAACGTCAAAAATATTTATTGAAATGTTTATTTTATTTTCGTGTAGATGTCGCTTTATACAAATATTTAATTAAGATCATTTTTTTATTAATATAATATTATTAAGTATTTGGCGTATGTATAGTATGCAACTCGTTTATAAACTTTTCTAGACACTCATTTGATTAAACACTTGCTCGCAAGCTCGCTCGTGCCTAAATAAATTCGTGACAAAAATGGAGTTTATCAAATATACTATTATAAAACCACCAACATAATTATTTAAAACATTTTAATGAAAAAACCGCAAATTGAACTCAAAATAAATTAAATTTTTATTTGCACAAATTCAGTTCGTGTAAGTGTAATTAAAAACCTATTTGAGCTTTTAAAATGGGAAGTTCACATTTTGATTTATTAAAACGGTTTTTTGTTGCTTTTTTATCCAATCAAATACGATTAATGCAATTTAAATTCCACGAATTATTAAAATATTTCAAAATAAAAATTCCTGTAAAATTGCAGAATCATAACAACAATGTAATACAATTAATATTTAATGCACTGCATCTTATACTTAATCATATTTTATTTTTTTAAGCGTACAATAATTTTTATATTATATGTATATTTTTAAACGTTGTAATTATAATATTTCAGATATGTTTCCTGCAATGTTTTATTTAAAATATTACATTAATACAGTTTTTGCAATATTTATACATTTCACCGCTGTTTCAGTACAAGAGGCGGTATAAGTACTGGTATATAACCGCGCTTTATTATTATTTACAGTTTTTTCCAGCGTTTATTTTTTAAAAATATCACCGAAAACTTTGCATAGTCCATAATTCGTATGATGAATCCTTTGTCCCCTAAGGCTGCCACAAGAAGTTTTACAAAGGAAAATTTACGACACTTTTTCTAAAACAAGTATTTGCCCATATTCTCATATTACGTTCTTCCAAAAGTTTCATAAAAGTTTGACGCAAACCATTTCTATGCAAATAGATTTTAAATATGAATTATTTTGTGTTAAATTAAATCATATAACCTTATAAGAAAATTACCTTTTAAACTTTTAAGATTAAATAAAGATCCAATTTAAAATTCTATCATCTAATTACACTTGTAAAATTGTGGTTTCACCCTCGACCTTTACATAAAAAACGTAATAAAATTATCCTGTTTACCTATACCAGTCACGAAATGAGAACTTAAAAAAACTATGTATTTTCAAACGTAATTTCGTTAAAATTTATTAGTCTGTGTTATAACTTATAATCCCATTAAGACCTAACGAGAAAATAGGTGAAAAGCATCTTGGAAAAAGGATATGTAATTTTCTCTTTGTAGCTATATTTTTATTAAAACGTACAATTTGTAGCCATAATATAAAGGGTGTCCAAAGTTATCTAATCACCATTCCTAACATCGTTATTATTGGAGCTACAAAATCGGTTGATTGGACAAATTGGTGATATTTTTTCATATGATTAAAATGGTGAAAACTAAAAAACATTTAAACGTCGGCTTTCCGAAATATTTACAAAAAATTATAAAATTGGTTATTTCAACAACCATCAGAAAGTTCAAGTGCTTGTTAATTGTTTATTTTTAAGATATCTGGATGTATTTTGTCATCAATATTTTAATTAATTATATCGTACAGTAAATTTAGTGTCTAAAATGTATGTTGATTACAGTTGAAGACACTTCTTCTTATTCGGAAGAAAAGTCAGGAAAATCCCCTGATTTCGGAAAATTCCTTTCTGTTCCTGGGATGGGTAATTCTTATAATATTAAATCCTTTTTTGTATACAGGGTGCTAATATGTAATGGTGTGATTTCTCAGGTCATTTTTTTTCTTCATATAATGACCGGAGGAATTACACCCTTATATACCAGCATGTTATAAGAGAACACCCTGTATTTATTTTACATATTTTTGTTATTTATATTTATAAATTTTTGCACACAATATCTACTGCACGCTTTATTTTGCTTTTGTTTTGTTTGGATGATTTTATTTAGCATGCTATTCTAAAAATAATGAATTTATCTCTTTTAAATGTCACCTGGGTTTATTGCAACAAGGCACGCAATATTTTATTAGCAAGAAACCTGGAATAAATTCTCCAAAAGTTCTAAACCACTTTAACGTAACTATAAATATGTATTAAATTAAAACTGAAATCATAAACCTTATTAAAACTTTCACACCTTAGGTACTTTAATCACCTGAATCCTAAACAACAGCCTAATTATTCAGTTAATCTTCTTTCCTAATTAATAAGAGAACAGGCTCGTTAACGCCAAAAGCCTTGTTGTAATAAACTGCCTATCTTACTTAAGAAAAAATTGAACGTACACCTCGTCAAAGTTTTTTGTTTTGAGTGCTTTCCACCAACTTCAAATACCGACAGACACTTATATTGGGTCTCATCAGTGTCGGGCAACTTAGTGTAGTGGAACACACCCAAAACAAAGGACTACCTGAGCTTATATACTCCGTTGGTAAGCCAACAGAGACGAGGTGTAAGAACATCACCTGATCCACACCGTCTAACGACGTGGCCTTTGCCGGTTCAATTCTTTCTTATGAATATTACCAATAATGGGTCAAGAAAGTTTCTTGAAGAAACTAAGAACATTAAATGTTTACTTAATTAACCTCTCCGATAATAGGTACAGAAAAACCCCACAGCATCATTAAGAGCACCAGCAACCTCTCCATAAGCCGTAACCATAGCGCCAACAACTTGGACCACTTGAATTCAGACGCCCCTCAACATAACCTCGCTTTTATGCGGAAAATCCCGCCCGGCGCAGAGGCAAGCAACATCTTGGTCGGAGAAGTGGACTTTCTCGACAAAACCATGTCGGCTTTCATCAGATTGAACTCGGCCACTATAATCGGAGATTTAACTGAAGTACCTGTACCCACCAGATTTGTTTTTATTTTGCTGGGACCGCCCAACACGGCCTCCGGCTACCACGAGATCGGAAGAGCTATGGCCACCCTCATGTCCGATGAAATTTTCCACGAGGTGGCGTATCGTGCCAAAAATAGAAGCCACCTGTTAGCAGGTAATCCCGAAATCCCTAATACCTTTCAGAATGATGCTACCCCAGAGAACCATATCAGGTCCATATCAGGCCCTTTCACCTTACCAAAAAATGTTCAATATAGGACTTAATATTCCTATGATTTTTGTGCAATCGCGATGGCCAACAATAAATGATCAAATTGTGCCTAATAATATGCAAAAGCAGTTTGGATTAAGTTAGGTAGGTTACCGTTGGTTTAATTTTTGGGAATGTTTGGGCATGGAAAAATGATGAAAATTTTTTTATGTTTATTCGGGAAAATATTAGGCTTTTAAAAAATTGACCAAAGACATGATATTGGTAAATATTTAGACAAATCCAGAGTATTTACAAATACAAATAGAGGCACAGAAAACAATTAAAATATTTTGTATTGAAATTTTTTTAATTAATTTTCTCCTATATTTTTTTTTAAATAAAAATTTGCACATACAAAAAAAAAATTTTAATTAAAAAATATTTTGAATAATAAAAATTGGAAAATAAATATTGTTTGTTTTCTGGCAGGTTGCAACGCGTTGTGCGCATTGTTTAAGGCCACGTCAAAGGACCTCTGAAACTCTCTAGCCCCAGGAGGAGCATATTTCTCGTGTTCATGTAAACTCTCTAGAAAAAATACCTTTATACGTGTTATAATATTATGAGACAAATAGAATTACGGTAAGGCTATCAAGCCTATCAAGAATTGTGTTTTATTAAACATCAAGAACTTATTGTAAAATTGTTTGTGATTGGTAACTTATATATATATAACTATATGTTATGAAAAACTTTTTGTAGAGAAGGTCTTGAAATATTTACTGCAACGCACCTATAACTCGCTATTGCGCATAGTAAACTGATTTTTCCAATGTGATCAATTATTTGCCAAGTTTCGATCAATCTTCATTACAAACGCTTTGCTAAATTTCGACCAAACTTCGTTACAAACGAAGTTGGCCAAAAATAACTCTACTTGTCTTTATTTTCATGCAGTTTTTGTGTTATCGCGTTGGGAAATGATTAGCATAAAATATGTCAATTTTTGCTCAAACTTAATGAAATTACAATTTATATTTCCAAATCAACCGCAATAAATGTAAAATATCGTACACCAAACTGAGAAAAAGTTGAACAATTTCTTTCCCAAACCATGGTTCTCTGGGACTCATAAGAAGAAACATAATTAAAATTTAAAAAACTCGTTTCTTAGGTGTGGACGAATTTCTGGACGCAGTTACAGTTCTACCTCCGGGTGAATGGGACCCAGCAATTAGAATAGAGCCCCCCGCAGCGATACCCTCGCAAGACCCTAGAAAGCGCCCGCCAGAAAAGCCCATGGAAGAGTTCGACGAAGAAGAGGAGGAACAAAAAGCCCGCGAAGAGTCGGGATTGGCCAGAAGCGGCGTGCTTTTCGGCGGTCTCATAAACGACTTCAAAAGGAAAGCACCGTGGTATTGGACGGACTTTAAAGACGCCTTATCTAGTCAGTGTATAGCCTCCTGGATTTTCTTATACTTTGCCTGTTTGTCGCCCATAATCACCTTTGGAGGTCTGCTCGCGGACGCCACCGGTAAAAATATGGCCGCCATGGAGTCGCTGGTGTCGGGATTTGTGTGCGGTATTGTATACGGGTTCTTCTCCGGCCAACCTCTGACGATATTGGGGTCCACGGGGCCCGTTTTGGTCTTCGAGACCATAGTCTACGATTTTTGCACGACTATGGGGTGGGATTATCTTTCGTTTAGATTCTGGATAGGCACTTGGATTGCAGTTATATTACTTACTCTGGTCGCTATTGATGCCAGCGCGTTAGTTTGTTATATTACGAGGTTTACAGAGGAGAATTTTGCCACTTTGATCGCATTTATATTTATTTACAAGGTAAGGTGTCTAAACACACCAATAATGAAGTTCTCATTATTGTATTATTGTTTTAGGCTGTAGAAAATGTTCTAGTAATAGGCAAAAAGTTCCCTATAAACAACTCAGGTTCTACCAACTTCACCTATGATTGTTCTTGTTTAGTGAATACCTCTCTCCAAATGGAACACCCCGAAATAGCCAACTGGACAGCACTTAATAAAACTACATGTATAGTAAGTTTATTCGATAATTTTTTTCTTACATGAAAACGTCGTAGTTGAATCGCATTTAAGTCACTTCGATAACGGATACAAAGGAAGGTAACTTTTTTTAATACCAGTTCTCAAAAATCTTTTAAAATGAATCATTTTGGTGTCGTTTCCGACAAAAAAATTAAAGAACACGTGTTAATCCGAATGAAAAAATAAATTGCTTACAGTCCCTGTAAATATAAATTGTACCTATTACATACAATAAACAGGGCCTATTTTTGACTTAGTGGGGCCCCAAGGCCCAAGCAAAACTTAGCCCCCCATATCAATATCCTATATAACTTTTCAATAAGAATGTTTCTACTTACCTTTGACACCTTTAGGTTTATGATAAAAAAATTTAATTTTTAATTAATCAATTAAAAAATTGTTCTAATAATAAATCTAAAAAAATAAATAAATATTTACATTATTAATTATTTAGTAGGTACAAATAACTAAAAATATATTTAAACGATACTTAAACAAAATTTTTAACTGAAATTAATAACACAACAAAAAAATAAAAAAAACTTAGCTTCTAAGGAACAGCGAACAAAATAAATAATAATTAATAAAAATAAACAACAAATTAATTTTTTTTACGTATTTTCATTTCCGAAAACTTATCTATGATACCATTTATTTCTAATTTATCTAGAATATCGCTTTCTACGTTTAGAATAGCCAACGATGAAACATTTTTTTCGTTTAATGAGTTTCTTAGATAGGTTTTTACCAGTTTTAACGTAGAAAATGATCTCTCTCCAGATGCGTTACTAATAGGAATAGTTAAATATATACGGAACAATACCTCAACGTTAGAGAAGGTTGACAAAATATTGTTATCAATTAAAAATTTTAACATTTCCTGGGGGTCTTTAGAGGAAATATTATTTGATTTACAAAGTGCTTTAAATTGTATAATTTCATCCACTAAATCTTCAGTAGCATCCACATCCATATTGTAATATTTTTTTATATTTTTTATACTTACATTAAATCTGTAATTTGAGGGTTCAACAAAAAATACACCAAAAATTTCATTTACACAATCATACGCTTGCATTCTCATTTTTAATTCAAAAATCAATTTGTCACATATAGGAAAAAAACTATTTATTTTAAAGTTTTCAGCACCGCTTAAAGTAATGTCTTGTGCAGGGCCTTCATCAAAGAACTTGTTCCTCTTACGAACTCTTGAAATTTCATCCTTATAAACATTATTATTTGGCTGAATTTTTTTGGATTCCTCTTCAATTTCATCAAACTGTTCTCTAAAACTCTCGACAAATTCGATCAATCCGCTATAAAGTGTACAAGCCGCAGTTAGATTGGCTTGATTATTTTGTAGAGATTTATTTGTGGAGTTTATTCTGTCTAGGATTATTTTCTAAATTGAGGTCATCAAAGCAAATTCAAATTTATTCATTTAGGGTGTTCCAAAAAAAGTCGATAATTTTTTTTTTCGATTGCACGTGAAATTCTTGTTATATATGCTATAAAAAAAAATCTGTAAAAATTTGAGCCCTTAATATCAACTTGAAGAACTCCATCATCGAATTTTAAGATTTTCCATTGATTTAACATGGAAAAATGATTATTTAACTTTCATTTCTCCTGCAAACTATCTAGAACATTATTTTTCGGAAAAACCATCACTGATCCTTCTTCAGCATTAAATTCTGTAAAAAAAGTTCTTAGGGTCCAGTCTCTAACGTCAACCCTCTCGTTTTTATTTGCGTTGAAAAATATAGATTTTTTGAGTACTGAGTCACATTTTTCCAGTCAGTGTAGCCATTGGCAGTAAGCTTGAGATCTTTTTTCGAAAAAAGTTTGCAAACATAACAATAAACACAGCCAGATTTGGGACTGTAAACCAACCACTCACGAAGGGCTTTTTCGCCATTTTCTTTAAATTTATAGAATGTTGAACTTTGTAAGCATCTAGATTTTTTACCATCCACTTATTTTGTCAATATTTTGTTCAGGTCTGTTTTTAAGAAAATATTCTTGAAATTTCGAGCTTATATTTTGAGGCCAGTCTGCTAGATCACAAGGAAATGGTGGGGCATTACTTTGTTGAAAAGTTTCTTTGTCAATTTCCAATAAATCACTTACGACAACGTTACCATCATCGTCTGCGTGTTGGTGTTCTTGTAACTCGATGGTATCACTAATATTGCTCGTTGAAGCATTTACTTCCTTATCTTTTGATGGTGGTTCTGGAAGATCTTGTTGATTTTCTGGTTCCTTTCTGAGGAATGCCAACATTGCGTTTTTTTGTTTTTGTTTTTCATTTTCCCTCACTAATGTCTTTTTACGCTTCTCACTACCACTTTGATGTTTGTAACTCATATTCTGCTATAGGGTATACCCTTCATATTCTGCTATAGGGTTAAAAACTACATTAATGTTTAGGTAGTATATATACAAAAATAATATATTAATTAATAATTATAACTTACCTTAAGTTAAATTTCGGAGTTTGGACGATTGCAATTGTAAAAAGAAATTATAAAATTCACAATAATATATTATTGTGAATTTTATAATTTCTTTTTACAAGTATACTTTCGACTAGGACTAGGCGGTAATAAAGATTGCGTTGAGCGGCAGCTTTTTCATTCGTAATTCGTAATTCGTCAGCAAAAGATTTGTCGGTACTTATAGAGGCATAAACAAAAACGCCGTAAAAGAGACCGCCGATGTTTTATGTTTTTGAATCTAACTAAAATTATATAGGTATAATATCAATATCGTTATTATACCAATCTAAGCCACTTTTATTTAATATTTAATTTTCTTTATAAAATAGATATGGCTTTATTTTAAATTTAAATTAAAATGCAAACCATGGTTTATAATTTTTTTTCAAGGGCTTTTTTCGGGCCCCATTTTCCTCCGGGCCCAAGGCCCGGGCCTTGTGGGCCTTTAGGTAAAATAGGCCCTGACAATAAATACACATTTTAGTAATGATTAACGTGAAAAGTGTAAACATTTTAATTCAGTAAAAATCGTCGAACAAATAAGTCGTTTAAACTTAAATATAAATTATATTTGGTCAAGTTATTATTAGAACAACAAATATACCTACCGAATTGGATCCTTTGGCAAAACATAAAAATGCAACGATTTAGTTCTTGAATTTTATTTACAATTAAAAGCACAATAATTCACCATGATCACTTAGATAAAATAGTATTTTAAAAATACACACACTAACGTAACTATATAAGCATATAATGTAACTATATAAGCATATAATGTAACTATATAAGCATATAATCAATGATATAAGGAATAATTAATCGAAATCGAGTACTAAACCAAAGTTTTGTAGTTTTTACTTGCAACGCAAAACACAAATAACGTGCGCTATTTTGCTGTGCAATTGCTTTAAATGTATTGTTGACAATTCTTAAATTCACAAAATGCTATCGAACTCCACCAGATGGCCCTCGCGTTGCGAAAATCCGATGCTTCTTTAGCGTATATGAAAAAAAATAATGGAGATCATTACAAGGAATACATTATCAAAACTATGTGGAACTCAACGGCAAAAATGCTTCAAGATAAATACTATCAAGATTTTAATATTAAAATTAATACATTTAACGATATTGTATTAAAAGAGGCCCGTGATGCTATAGAAACGCAAAAAGAAAGGTGTTACAAAGAATTCTGAAAAGCAGAAAAAAATTGACTCGGAAAAATGTCATCTGACAAAATCGCTCAACCTACGGTCTCGCAATTTTGATTTATGACATTTTTTCTCGTCAAATTGCTAGGTAACAAGCTTTTAAGGAAAACAAAAATTTATCCGGCTAAAAATTTTTTTATATAAGCTCTTATAAATATATTTTTATATAAGCTCTTGTGTAATTATAGCCGACAATATTTTGTAAAATCAAATTTTAATTTTGTCTATTTTAGCAACTAAATGGAACATTGGAAGGACCAGGATGTTTTACCCCAAACTATACACCGGACGTATTTCTGATGTCCATAGTTTTGTTCCTGGGAACATTCCTCTTGTCTATCCACTTGAAAGACTTTAAAAATGCACTATTCTTCCCTTCAAAGGTAAATATTACAAAGAAAATACCTATAGGTTAACCTAAAAATATATTTTTAGGTTCGTCAATTTATCAGTGATTTCGCTGTCATCATCGCCATTCTTTCCATGACCCTCCTTGACTACAAAGTGGGAATACCAACGCCGAAACTCGAAGTCCCCCACGAATTCAAACCAACTCTCCCCACCAGAGGTTGGATCATAAACCCCTTCGGCAAAAACCCGGTTTACTCGATATTCTTGGCCTTGCCACCTGCGTTACTCGGCACGATATTGATATTCATGGACCAGCAAATCACAAGCGTTATAGTCAATAGAAAAGAGTACAAATTGAAGAAGGGTTGTGGATACCATCTCGATCTCTTCATTTTATGCATTTTGATCGAACTGTGTTCCCTGATGGGTCTACCATGGTTCGTGGCCGCAACCGTACTCTCCATAAACCATGTTAACTCCTTGAAATTGGAGTCCGAATGTGCTGCTCCGGGAGAAAAACCGCAGTTTTTGGGGGTTAGAGAGCAAAGGGTTACGCATATTATGATTTTCCTCACCATTGGGTTATCGGTGTTTTTGACGCCTGTTCTGGGTCATATACCAATGCCCATTTTATACGGGGTGTTCTTGTATATGGGTATTGCTTCGTTAAAGGGCTTACAATTCTTCGACAGGATTTTGATCATGTTTATGCCGAATAAGTATCAGCCTGACTACATGTTCCTAAGACAGGTAAGACAAATATTCACTAAGCAGTCAAATAAGAGGTTAAAATATAGAATAAAATATTAAATCATCAAATCTTGTTACGCCTACTATTCTTCCTCCTCAAAATACTTTTTGAATTTATAGTTGGCTTTGAATTGTCGATTATAAATTTTAACTAACGATTTCTCGAAGATGAGTTATTGGAATAATCCAGAGAGCCATATTAGGTTAAAACTTGGCCAAGAATTGCCCTTTCACCTTTTTGCCAATAAATGTACAATATATTACTTAATATTTCTATGATTTTTGTGCAATCGCGATAACCAACAATAAATGATCAAATTGTACCCAATAATATGCAAAAGCAGTTTGGATTAAGTTACGTAGGTTACGGTACCGTTTTGTATTGAATTCATCCCTTGTGGAAATTTTTCTCTGAAAAAGTTTTAATAAGTAAATTTGAAAGTCTTACTTTCTCTTAAAAACCCTGAATAAGACTTATTAAGTCGGAAAAAGTCTGAATAAGTCTTAGTAAATCATTAATGGCAAGATTTGGAAGTGTTAATAAGACTTTTTTCAGAGAAATGGTAGGTATACCTATAGCTATTAAAATAAATATCTGGAATTATTCAGAGATGTTGTATTTGGTTATTGCAAAATAAAACAAACAAAAGTATTTATAAACACTGTTTTTGTGTTGTTATAAGGCTTATAAAACATGAAAGCAATGTTTACAATATAGGTAAGCAACGTTTACTTCAATTCATTACAATAAAACAGTTAACTGAGACATACGGTTTGTGTACATACAGATCCCTTATTGATTACATACGGTATAATAACTATAAGAATTCTTCGCAACGCATGTGCATCGACAGTTATCCTTTTTCTATGGTTAAAATCATAAAACAAATATGGTTGATCTTCGAGCTGCTTTTATTTTGTTTGATATTACGTACAGTGTTGCCGGATGAATGTCATAATAGTTCCTGACCAAAAATTACAAAACACTAAAAAACTAGTTATATTTTAAATTTACTAGCGGATTCACCCTGTTTTAAAAAATAAATTAAATTAATTTAAAATTGTTATATAAGTCAATAAAAATGTAACAGAATAGAATAAAATAATTGTGGATATTTAGTAAATATACAATATTATTTACTGAAAATTTAATTAGTTATTATTTTGCAAATTACCCAATTTTACCCACTTCAAAATTCTACCCCCAAACTTGACGAAAATACCCGATTTTCGAGTAAAATACTTGCAAACGGCAACACTGGGTCGGACTGACAGAAGATGCAATCTCATGACGGGTCAGCTGTGCTCTAATTGTTCAGCTGAGAAAATCTATATTGCGTCCATAAACCATGATTGCGTCTATAACAATTGTTTGGAACAATGGTTAGATAAATATTTGAGTATATAAAAAAAGCAAGAAGCAAGTCAAGCGAATCGTATGTAAAAAATTATAATTATTACACCTAACATATATTATTATATAGGTAATTTTGTGTTAAACACAGCAAAAATGTTAATAAATACTTTCTTTGTGTTTTATTTTACAATAACCAAATACAACCTCTCTGAATTATTCCGGATATTTATTATTATCGCTATATTCTGACTTACTAAGACTTATTCAGGCTTTTTCCGACTTAATAAGTCTTATTCTGACTTTTTCCGACTTAATAAATCTTATTTAGAGTTTTGAAGAGAAAGTAAGACTTTCAAACTCATATTTTTACTTATTAAAACTTTTTCAGAGAAAAATTTCTACAAGGGTGCAAACAAACTAAATCCCTAGCGATATCTATTACAACATAGTTTTACTTGGCTAACTGTATATCAGCATATGCATTTGACAACTCAACTTTTCCTAATAATATTCCTCCTTTAGGTCCCCATAAAGAAGGTCCATATCTTCACAGCAATCCAACTAGCATGTTTGGCGTGTCTGTGGACAATAAAATCCTTCAGCAGCACCTCCATCCTCTTCCCGCTGATGTTGGTGGTAATGATAGGAATCAGAAAGGCCCTGGACCTGTTCTTCACCCGTCGAGAGCTAAAAATTCTCGACGACTTGATGCCCGAAATGACGAAAAGACACCAGCTACTCAAAGACGAGGTGGGCTGTATGTCTAGTCTAAGTAGATGTATTCTAGGACCAAAATTAAAATTACATAAAGACGTCAAGGAGTACGTTGAGTGTGATCAGAAAGTCGTTTAATTAGTGCCAAGATTATACAAATAGAGGCTGTTATACATTTGTGCATGTTATGAACGTTTTTTTATTTTATTTATTGTAAAGTTTGCACTATTTTTGCTACTACTACTTACTTTAATTTTAAATGATTTATACATCACATTTACCATTAGACTTGCACATATAATATTATATTAAAAATACCGCTTTGTCTTTCACATACCTACCCAAAAATACCAAACTGCATGATTTTTTTTGTAGTTATATTTTTATACCGTTTCGTAACAAAACACTAAAAATCTAGTGCCAATAATATAAACAATAGTACATTACCTAATAGGCCGGCAAAGTGCTTATATTATAGCCGAGCTCAGTTTCGCTGCCGAGGCGGTTAATATGCTTTCTCCACTGTTTTTTTTTTCAATAAATCTGTACTCACATTAAAATTCTTGAGTTTGCGACATTTTTTATAGGTAGAATTTATTTTACAGTCCCCTGTAATTTTACAGTTACCTACACAGTTACCTACATATTTTTGTGATAGTGTTTTTAGTTTGTAAAGCTTAAAACATAAAAACAGATATTTAATATTATTAGTATTTGCTTTCACTTTTTATGTAGTTTGTATTGTTAGTAAACGACATTCCTTGTGCTTGTTGTATCTTGTTTTTCTAAAATTTATTTCCCATACAGTATTGTTTATTTTATTTAAATAAATTAGTATTATTATATTCGCTTTTGTTTTATTACCTTGTTGGTTTGATTTATTTACAGTTGCATGTAAGTATTTTTAGTTGTTTTTATTTGGTAATATTTATTTTATTAATCAATCCTTGGTCAATTCTAGCTTAATTTCTAGCAAATTTTGTTTGATGGAGGTACGTGGGCAAGGGAGGGAGTTTGGGGATTCAAACCCCCTAGTGTCAAAATAAAAAAGTATACTACTAAAAATTTACCCAAAGAAAATCGTAACTATCAAAAATAAACAACCATTAATTAAATTCTGCAAACTTCAGATACATCGTTTATTATTATACGGCCATTCCAAGCCCATGGACAGGACACATCAAAAACATGTCTAAATATATTCTTGTTACTTCCTTAAGTTTACTTATTTTTTCTACGAGTATTTATGAGAAGTATTAGCCAAATTTGGCTAATACTTCTCATAAATACTCGTAGAAAAAATAAGTAAACTTAAGGAAGTAACAAGAATATATTTAGACATGTTTTTGATGTGTCCTGTCCATGGGCTTGGAATGGCCGTATACTAATGTAAATTATATTTTTAATTTTCATAATAAAATTCCATAATCATTTTTTTTACATCAAATAAACAGTTTGATTCCTCTGCAAAAACTACACAAAGATATTGCAACAAAGCTGGGATATTTTTTTGTGTTCACTAAAAAACTTCGAAAAAGCGGAGGTCAGCCGAAGAATTTTTTTGCTAGTTTTGCAGTTTTTTGATGAAATTGAAAAAATTGCTTGTTTTTGTTATCATTCAAAATTAATTATCAACACCAATACAAGATATATAAACAATTCTTACTTTTTCTTGAAGAATATTGCACAAATTTTAAGCAAAGTCCAAGGCTGTTTGACTAATTCATTCATTTTATTTATATTTTGTTAGATAGTGTTACCTATTATATTATTAACGAAATGTATAATACCTTTACCTATATTGTATATATGTTTAACAATTTAATAATAAACCCCCATGGTTTTCGAATTTTGTAAGAAAATTATAAAATGTCAAATAACACTTAATGATGTCAAAAATGCATTTTGAATATTTAAAAAATATTTTCAAAACCACGAAAAAACCGTTTTTACATCTCTACCTATGGACCTATTTAGGATATCCACCATTAAGCTACAAGGTCGGTTGAATTAGACAAAAGTTACGTAATTACAAGTCTATTAAAATGGCATTAAAAAATTTGGAAAAAATCAGCAGTTCTCAAATATTTAAAAAAACTGAGAATCTGTTAAAAAAATTGTTATTATTATATTATATAATCCAGTTAATTCATTATTCCTGGGAATTTTAAAAAAGTAAGTTTTACATGACCACCATATTGGATTTTTTATGGTTAAATAGAAAAAACTCCAACGATGTATCACATAGGTTATGGCCGCGATTATAAAACTTTGTTTCAAAAAGGTAACCGGTAATATTTTTTAAAACTTTCTGATAATACCGTACAATAATGTTTTTTACATTGTACATTTTTTCACAAAGAATTAACCTTTAATTTTTATTATTTTTGAAAAAATCGTCAAGTAGACGTTAAAAACGTTTTCAAGAAACTTTTATAATTAACATTTTGAAATTGACCGTTAGTTAATATATTAATTTTATTTTAATTCCATTTACCTACCTACATTTTCATTTTTAAAAGTTAATATTTTTATACTAACCGTTAATATTTTTTAAACAAAATAGGTTTAAATTAATATTCAATGAATATTATAAATAAATTAAGTATTTTTTCATAAACAATTAAAATATTTTTTTAAATATAAGGAAATTTTGAAAAAAAATACAATAGTTTTTATGTGTAACCGTTAATTAAAATCATTAAAACAATCATTAATGTTTTTAAATAACCTTTATTATTTTTAAAAGTTCCCTTTACATTTAAAAATAACCCTTAAGTAATGGTTAAAACGTTTTTAAGAAAGCAATGTTATAATTAACCGTTAATTTTAATGTTATTTCAAGAACAAATTACCTTACCTATTCTAATTGACCGTTAAATGGTTTGTCAATGAAATAATTTTATTTTAAACCGTAATATTTTGTATTTTTAAAACCGTAAAAATTGTACGTTAACCGAATTAAAAATGTTGTCAATAATGTTTTGCACGCTTTAAAAGAATTTTTAAAACCCAGGAATAACAAAGTTATAACGATTTTTATTTTTAAAAGGTTTTTAGTTTTCTTTCGACCTTTAAATACAAAAAAATACCCATAGAAGGATACGTGGGCACCATTTATATAATAAATATGTTCCTTATAATAAAATATTCTGCCGTTTTTAAGGCGCAGAGATAAAAATTTGTATAACCAATAATAAAACTGTATAAAGAAATAGGCAACAGTTAAAAATTTTGTTAGGTAATTACAATTATTGTATTGTAAACCACCAAAAAATATGTGTAATTAAAAAATATCAAATCTTTTTTATATTTTTTACTAAATAAAAAAATGTATTACTGCAGTCCAGACGGTGAAAAAAATTGATGAAATATTGATATCACCATTCAAACCCAAGCCAAGTAATTTTGCAAAATTTATTTTGCAGACGGATCCCGAGAAAGCCCCCATTGAGATCGAAGCGGAGGGCAATTTGAAGATTCCCCTGGCGAACGGTAACGTAATGAACATACCGCTATCCGCAATCAATATATCCGAGGAAGTAAACAAAACCGGAATATGGAAACAAGTGAACGAAAACAACTCTGCCGACAAGGAGAAGAAAAAAAGCCCCAAGGGGAGGTACGAAAAAAGTATCAAGTATCAATGGTTTTTGATGTTATAGTAGTTTGATATGTGCGTAAAAAGAACTATAAATGTCTTTACACATTCAAAACAAAGTTAAAATAATAAATAAACATTATTTTCAAGACACTGTACAATAATATTACTATTATTATTTTTAATTCAAAATATGTTTTTATTTTTTATATTTATTCATTTTTAAGAGTTGTCAATGATTTTTTTTATAAACGCCTTTTGTTTACTAACCTTTCAAAAACGAATGTCATACTTCAGGACGCCAATGTTTAAAGTGAAAATTAACAACTAGTTCTGTATCCCAGAGCCAAAATATCTAGCAACCACTACAGAATTCCACTCTAGCTCTACATATCCATTTTACAAAATTGGCGAATGCGCCGGGATTATACTTTTCATAATACCAATAAAAAAACAACCGTAATAATAATAATAATAATAATAATAATAATAATAATAATTTATTGCCCAACAGAATACATATTCCAATTACAGGACAAAGTACACAACATGTAACATTATATAAAAAAAAATTATAAAAGAAAAAAGATATAAAATGAACTTAATATTTTGTTAAAAAAAACATATAATAAAAAATAATATCATGAATAATATAAATTAAATAAAAATTAAAATTCCAAATTATTTTGACCGAGAAAAAAAAAATCATGAGCTCTGGACGTAATTTCCTTAATGTTTGAATTAAAGAAATCGCACTGGTTACCTATACAATTATAATTACTACACATAACATGAACAGGAGATTTCAAAAGCACGTTAGTTCTTGAGGAACTACAATAAAATGTTTTACTTCCACGAGATTCCAAACGTGGCACTAAAATATTTAAGAGACTCAATAAATGACAAGAATCAATTTGGTAATGAAAAAGTTTCCACAGAAATTTTAAACTTGTCACTATTCGTCTAACATGTAGGGTATCAAAATTAAAACGCGTTAAGAGGATGTTATGGTCAGTTCCTCTAGCAGGATAAATATGATCAACTCTGTAGGAGAGAAGTTTAAGGAATCTTCTTTGTACTTTTTCAATTGAGTTAATATGTACGTTATAATACGGGTACCAAATAAGTGAGCAATATTCGAGCTTTGTTCTAACAAGATAAAAATACATTGATTTTAGTGCTGTGATGTTACAAAAATTGGTAGAATTCCGACTTATCAAGTTTGTAAGAATTTGACAGTGTCAATTTGAAGGTCACGGTCAAAGTTAAAAAACCAATGTTTTTATCAAGAAAACTGGGCTTTGATAGCTATTGGTAACGGTTGTTTACTTATAAAATTCCTTAATATCAAAGAAAATTTTCGTGCCGGCATTAAGTTAAAATTTATTGACATAAAAGGATCGCTACAAAAAAGAATATTAAGCACTTCAAATTTGGCTCAACAGAAAAACTGTGAAAACAATAACCGAACATGTTTTACTCTGCTATGTGTCTTAGCTATCGAACCTACAAACTGTACTGTTAAGCTTAACGTCCTAGGCCAATTTAATTATCAATACAGAGTCCATTTCGTTGAAGGATAGGTATATTACTGTTATGACCAAAGACCGGATTTTAGGCTCTTAAAAATTGGAAATTAGTACACATAAATAGGCAATAAAAACTTACATTTTAGGACGTTTTAGGCCGAAAGTGCCTAAAATAGGCATCAACCGCCTAAAATACGCAATATGAAATAAAAACAACACGATTAAACATAACATTTATTCAGGTCCTATCAATAAAAATAATGTATATGTATATATGTATAATATAAGTTTAGGGACACCTTGTATATACATATACATTGTATATGTATACAAGGTGTCCCTAAACTTAGTGGCATAAATTAAGGAGCAGATTAAGCAAGTCAAAATAAGACGAAAATCTAAATAAATATTTTTCCTAATTAGGTATGTTTAAAAGATACAGGGTGATAAAGTGTTACTTATCATATCAGTTTTTTTTAATATAACTTCCACTATGGTAGACTTGGAAAGGTGATATTTTGCGAACAGTCACTTACTACCAAAACACATATTCACACATAATTTCAATTGTTCGAGTGAACGCAGTGTCGTAGAAACAGGGGTTGCTTAAGCTTATTGTCCCATACAAACTTTGAGGTTAGGTTTTTATACCATTTGATGCATTTTTTCGATTACTCAGTTCGGCTAGTATTAAAAAGGTATACCTCTTAAACTT